AGCCAAATTCACACCTCTCTAGATGTGCCCACATCAGAAAAAATTTCCCGCAATTTGTTTGCAAATGTTCAACGTCCTAACAAAAATCTAAAGGGGACCAAAAATAATTGGGGTGTGAAAGAAGATATAACTCTTATGTCATCGTGGATCTTCGTTAGCGAAGATAACATACGTGGCAGAAATCAAAAAGGAGTCTCGCTATGGGCTCGTGTGCACAATCTGTATCACGAACACCAAGCAGAAAAGCCAGATGAGCTGAACGAAAGAAATATCGAATCAATGAAAGGTCGTTGGAAACGGCTTAATGAAAATGCAAACAAGTGGGTGGCTGCTTACAAGGAAGCGTGTGTTCGGAAAATGAGTGGAATGACCGACAAGGATGTTGAGAACGAAGCTCATAGAATTTATGAAGCAGGTGGTAGCAAGTTTCAGGATTCGATTTTCTTCAATGAAGTTATGTGTAAACATCCAAAGTGGGAGTTGATACCGCTTCAGGATAAAACTCGTTTTCGTCCTGAAGATGAAGAGGGTAATGACGAAGAAAGTGGTGGAAGCACCAAAAGATCAAGGACTTCCGAAGATGCAGAGTATCCTAGGCCTTCCTATCAAGAAACTCCAAGTACCGGATGTTCCACTCCTTCCCGTCCTATTGGTAGAGATAAGGCGGAAAAGAAAGGAAAAGGTAAGATGCCACAATCTGATTTCTCTAATGAATTTGTTGCAGAAATTCGTGCATTGAGACTTTCCAGGGACAACGAAACGGAGGCAATGAAGAGTGTGTCTAATGCTAAAATGGAATTAGAGCGTGAAAAGTTGCAGGCCTCAAGGATGAAGATGAAAGAAAAAATGTTGAATACCTTGTTAGCAAAAGAACATTTGTCTCCAGCAGATGAGGAGACAAAACGCAAGCTTATGGCAATTGTATTTGGAGAATGAATGTACTGTGTGTTTTAGCTTGGGTATTTTTATGTATGTTTTTAAATTAGTTTGTGTAATGTAACGTATCTTTCAATTCAGATGCAATTATTTATGATATGTCAACATCTATCTTTATTACCCTCTTTTTACACCTCTTGTTCACATGGACTTGTCAGAAATAATGTTAGCTACGATCCAAAATTTCTTCACATGCACTCACTTTATTCACATACACTCACTAATAATTACATGCACTCAGACAATTCACATGCACTCACTTTCTTCACATGCATTCACTTTATTCACATGCACTCACTTTATTCACATGCACTCTATTTATTTATTTCTCACTCATTAAAAATTAGTTTTAATAAAATAAATATAACATGAGTATCTATTCGAAACGTAAAATTTTATAGAGTATTTTAAAACTATTTTGGATTTAAATATTATACCAAGATTCGAATGATTCTTAAAATCCACATTATCCGAAATACTAATGGTTGTTAACAATATATATCTACAAAACAAGTAACTAATCAGATATCCACTGACTGTGAAATCGATAATTATTATAAAGGAATTATGACTATATAAAATATATGACTATATAAAATATATAATATATATATATATATATTGTTCAATTAGAAGGCAATATCCAGTTACTGACTTTGAATTTATAATATGTAGATTTCGTGGCAATATTGACTAGCATAATAATCTGAGCAACAAAATTATAAGGTAAGTTTATACTACAAAAAGATTGTGAGAGGCACTTCTAACAGGAATTATGCTTCAGGTACAACAATTTTTACTCTTCAATTTTAAAAACACTCAACAATTACTGTCTACTATTTATATGTTGATATGGGATATTACACTAGACCAGGTTTAATGAATAAGAAAGAATATATTGGATAATAAATCCACATATGGGCTAGAACACATAAAATAATGGTATGGGTCAAGCCAACTTGGGCACTAAGTTACACTCTCCCTATAAAAAGTGGGATAAGGTATCTCAAAACCTCACACTCTCTATACTAATTACTATACCCTTGAGATTTGAGTTTGGAGTGATATTGACTGGCATCGGAGGCCCGATGCCGTGACCCCCCAACGTTGGATTCTTGCATGTATGAAGGTCGTCCGAGTTGAAGGAGCTCGGGTGAAGTCCATTTCACCAACATATGCAAAGGATGTTGTTTGGATAAATACACATGATATACCATATGCAAGATTTTGCAACAGCATAAGAAAACAAGTATGAGGACAACTGATGATGTAAAACGTGCAGACCCAAATAAATTGCATGGCAGTAACAACAAAAGAGCAGGAAAAGAAAACACTAATCCATGTAGTAATCAATTCATAGAACAATGGACATCCAACAATTAAATAGTTTATATTCTTAAATTGTATTCCATGGGCACTAATTTCCCCTTTGTTCTGTGCTTAAAAAAAAATATAAATAGAAATTTGTAATAAAAATATAATCTTTGTTATTATTGATTGAGTTTTTTTTGGTTTTTTTTAAGGAAATCGATATGTCAGCCGATTTCTTTCTTTATCTCGCACAAAAAAAAAAATCGCAAAGAATAATCGAAAACATATAAATATAAGAAGAAAAAAAAAACACACACAAATTTATAAAACAAATACAAAAGTTTGGAGACGTGGAAGTTTGTAAAATCGTCTTCCTTTTTCATCTCCCAATAAATATTGAAAATCATAATCCAAGACAATATAATAAAAAAAAATTGGAACAAAATGTTCGGACATAAAAAAAAAAAGCAGAGAACAATTTGTGGCGGCAGAGGTATGTAAAAAAGTGAGACTAGCCCTAGGGCTACTACACATCAAACATTTTATATTTTTTTGTACAGAATTTTATCGGTCTGATATTATTGAATTTTTTCTTACTGTTTGATCATATTTTAGCTTATAATAAATGGGTTGTTTTAATCAATCCAGTTGTGGCCTGTTTATAAAACAACCCATTATAAATGTCATATATAATTTGGGTCGTTTATTGATACATGTTGGCCCAAATATGAGATAGATCATGTGATATTTAGCAAATACATTTATTTAAACGTCCAACATTATTTCCAATATTTGTATTTCATAAATATTTTCTATATGATTAATAAAATAATAATACCATATTATTTTGAAATAGATATCTTAGTGTTATGATTTTTTATTATGGTAAAAAACATAGTTAATTGGTAAGTAGATGAATATTTAGGTAATAAATATATCAGTAATGCTAAACTCACGGTGGGCACATGTTAATATGTCCACCGTTTATGTGGCATGCACACATTGGTTCAATGTGTGCATGCCACATAAGTGGTAAGCATATTAACATGTGTCCACCGTAGATGGTGGAACATTATCCATAAATATATATATGAATACAATGTAACTTAATAATTACAAATATATATTAAATACATATCAACAAATGAGTAATATTTTATATACATTCCTTAAATAAAGTATTTAATAATATATAATATATTTTGTTTGTCATTTTTTTTCCCAAACATGTGTACATACAACCACCACTTAAAATTGCTACTTAAAATTGCTCCACATGCTTAGTGTTGTTAAATTAAACGAATTTGGCTCGCCTCGAGTTCGAAACTTTAACGAGCCGAGGTCGAACTCATTTAAAGCTCGTCTAGTTAACGTGCCAAGTTCGGCTCGGCTCGACTCGGCTCGAAAAGAGAATTTTTATATAATTTTTTATAGTTCGGGTCATTAAAACTCGAGATCGACTCGTTAAGGCACTAGTTCGAGGCTTAACGAGCCAAGCTCGAGCACCTTAAGCTCGAGCTCGGCTTGACTCGGCTCGTATACCGGAGCTGCGCTAGTTAAAAAAGACAACACCACTAGAAATAATTTGAGCTATGTAAGTAGTCACGTGCTAGACACAAGTTAGTCGGAAGTCAGAACTCAGAACTGTCCCAACAAAAAGACCGAAAAAAAAAAAAAGAGTTTAATTTCTATCCCACAACTAATCCAAAAATCAAAATCAGAGGTGCAGACTGCAGATCCATTGTTCAACCGAAATGGGCAAATCCCACAAACCCTCCGGCGCCGCCAACCTAGCCTCCTGCCTCATCGCCGCCGTTTTCCTCATAGCCCTCCTAGTCGCCGCCGCCGCCGTCTACTTCACCGTCTTCAAGCCCAGGTCCCCGCGGATCTCCGTCAACGCCGTCCAGGTCCCGGCCTTCTCCGCCGCCAACTCCACCGCCACATTCAACTTCTCCCAGTACATCACCGTCCGCAACCCCAACCGCGTCGCCCTCGCCCACTACGGCAGCGCCCTCCACCTCCTCCGCGGCGGCGCCCAGGTGGGGCTCCTCTTCGTACCCGCCGGAAGTATCGCCCCCCACGGGGCGATTTACATCGCCGCCACGTTTTCCGTCCGGTCTCTGCCGATGATGGCGGGTTCGGGCCGGCCCGAGAGCGTGGCCCCGGATGGGTTGGGCGGGTTCGGGTCGTCCGGGCCGAGCATCGAGCTGGAGACCCGACTGGAGATGGCGGGTCGGGTGCGTTTCCTGCATTTTTTCGCGCACCACGTGGAGTCGAAGGTTGAGTGTACGGTGGAGATTGGTGCTAGCGATGGATCTGTTTTGGGCCTCCATTGTTATAAGTAATTTCGTTGCTCCATTGTTATAAGTAAAATCGTTGCTCCATTGTTATCTAGGGCTACAAGTTGTAATTTTGTATTGAGTTTTTGTTAATCTTTGTTTTCTACCATAGATAGTTTGTAATACTAATTAAGTGACTTTGATGTGAAGATGATATGTTTTGTTGGACTTAATAATTTTGTTTTTTTTTTTTTTACCAAAACGAAAGATGTACTATTGATAAGCGCACATAAGTGCGGAATTACAAATAAGGGAGGCTGGATCGAGGTCCGCCTAGAATCGCTAGCAAGGCTAGAATGAAAACTACTCAAACACCAACACAAGAACACAACCTACACTCCTAAGAGGAGAATGAGAAAGACCCCAAACGAGGTAAAAGAAAAACGCTCCCAAGAGGAGAATGAGAAGAAAACGACCCCAACAGGGTAATGATCACTCACCACTCAGGCAATACAGAGGTCAACGACCCAGACCAAAAACACAAAGACAAACTAAAAGAACACGAACAAAGGACAAACTAACAAAGACTAGGTCCTCCCTCAACAGGACATCCGAATAGAACAGAAGACAAAGATCGACTCCAAGAAGAGAACCAGAACACCGGAACCTCGCCCACCACTGCATAACGCCTAGCAAGACGAGGGCCCAAGCCCCGGGCCAATCCAAGCAAACCGACCCGCTCTCCAACCGTAAGCAGCCACAATCACCCCCCAACCGGCTAACACCACTAGCCAAGTCCAACACCGTTCCAGAATCGACTAACACCACTAGCCAATTCCGGAGACGGCTGGCCTCCCTCAGACTCGGGACCGAGAAAAGAGAGGAAGGGAAATGAATGACGTCAAAGCTCAGCACCCCTGCACTGCCCAGATGAGCGACCCAATCCCGCCCGAGCACCAAAAATTGACCCCAGCCTATTACCCCCACAACACCGAGAAGCCGGCGACCAAAGTCGCAGGAAATTCTGGCCGAAGCAAATGAACTGGTAGTTAGAGGAGGCTCCAGGCTCGATGAGAAGAGCCGACCCAAATCGGAGGAAGACACAGTCGGCTCGAGCCACAACCAACCTCTGGCGCAGCACTCCACCCAACTCCACCACGCCGAGACGCCGTCGAGCAACATCCAGGTCCGCGCGACCTTCAATAACCCAACCGCATCCAACTGGAAATCGGAGAAAGGAGAAAGCCCATGACCAGACCTTGGTTGAGCGGTGGAGGGCCGTCCTCCGACGACCCGGATGGCTGAAGAAGGAGGCTCAATCGGCGGCGAATTTAGGAGCTAGGTTTAGGCAATTTAGGCTTAATAATTTTGTTACTCGTGGTTTAATTTTTAGGCGAATTTTTACCGCATGATTTGGAAATAATTTAATCGTACGATAGGTAAATTTTGATTGCATCTTTACAAATACATGACATTTAATTGTAAAGATGCAAGATATTAGTTACCAAACAAATAAACGCATAAGAAATTTTCGATTTAACATAAAAAAATAATAAAATTATATGGTAAGATTATATATCCTATAAATTATGATGTTGTTTCAATTACAAAATAAAAAGAGAAGAAATTTGAATTTCAAACTACGTCATCTTGCATATATATACGAAGTCAAACTACAAGATCGTGAAAATTAGTCCATGTTCATGAACAAACGTTGACAAATATATGAAATCAAACAGGTATGCTTTTCTTGGCGATACTTTTTTTTTCTAATTTTTTTTACAGCGGATTTTATTTTGTATACAAACCGTATATGTTCTGTGTTTTTTTTTCTTGTTTTTTATTTTTCGTTTGGGAAAATTTCACTTTTGGTACCTAAAGTTTACCTACTTTTCAGTTTTGATACCCATGGTTTTAACTTAATCACTTTCCGTTACTAACGTATTCAAAATCCATCATTATTGCCCAAATCGTCAGTTGACCGTGAGTCAACTGACGGTCACCTTCTCTAGCAGGTCATCTTCTTCTGCAAGTGATAGAAAATGGCATGCATCTCCATTACAGCACCCTAAAGCCGCCGAAAGTGAGGGGGAAAAAAAGAATTTGAAGATGAGCAGTTCAAGAGGAAGCTGGAACTCTCGCTGGAACTCCGAGATTAATGGTGCTCCAATGGAGATGACCTGCAATTGTAGAGATAAAGTATACTTGAAGACCTCTTGGACTCGAAATAATCCGGGAAGAAGATATTGGGCATGCCCTAAATATGGGGTAATTATTTATTTTGTTTTTGATTTCATTTTTGTTTTAATTTGCGCGTAATGTAAATTAACAAAAATTTGCAAAAAAAAAATTGCAGAACTTTGGTTTTTGCGGTTTTTTATATGGTTTGATCCAGAAATTTGCGAAAGAGCAAAGAATATTATACCCGGTTTGCTGGATAAATCAAATAAACATCAACATCAGATTGAGCAGTACAAGTTGAAGATTGCTGAAATGGAAGCTCAGTACAAGTTGAATATTGCTGAAATAGAAGCTCAGTTGTTGGTGGCAATGAACAAGGTGGATGACATAAACAATGCACTGGTTGTGTGCAAGAATAAGATAAAAAAATTATGGGTTGGTATAATTGTTCTCTCATTGTTGTATCTTGTAAAATTCTGTTTTAACTAGATTTTAGATAGCTATAGTTGGTGTAATTTGAAGTACTATGTAATGGTAATGGTCAGCAGTTTGTAGCACAAACATTCTGTCAAATTATGTGGTCAAATTTATCAAATTATGTAATGGTTCTAGTATGAAAATGTTGGTTGAATTTTCTCATTTGGTTCTGAGGGCAAAACCTGTTTATGTGTGTTTGAAATTACATAACACAAAAGCCACAAGAACATCAAGAAAACCATAAACCCCAACAAAAGAAACTAAAACATTAACACAATAACCAAAAGAACCTAAACCATAAACACAATAGCCACAAAGAACCACAATTATACCAATAAACCCCAACACAAAACCTAAAACTCCAACAAAAACATAATAGCCACAAAGAACCATTCCCACTGCATCTCAAACAACACAACATCAACATCCAAACAAAATTTTAGTTCACAACATCACTAGAAAACATCACTACAAAAAGAGAATAGAATTATGTCTTCAATACATAACACATCACACAAAATTTCTACTTTCTTTAAACATTGACTTCAGCATATCCTCAAATGGATTTATGTCCATAACACATCACACAACCAATCAATACTTAAACATTGACTTCAACATATCCTCAAATGGATTTTTGTCCCCCATCTTGCCTTGAAGTCCTTGAGCAGCTGCAGCTCTTAAATTTGAAAGAGTAATGTAGTTTACACCTCCCTTTACAATGACTTGTCCAGTTCCAGAAGATGATTGCATCACCTACACCAGAAAATTTGATTTATCAAGCTCATACATAATTTGAGATTGAGTGCCACCACTTAAATAAAAAAATCTTACATTAATTGAAGATACTCTATTTGTGCCTCCACTTAGGTTTACATCACCAACTGTGGCAGTCTCTTTCTTCCTCTTAACCTATTTTGTGCAAAACAATTGCATCTTATCAAAATCATAATAACAGAATTATGTAACTGAAGAATGATATTTATTAATAAAAGTTACATTTAATCAAATCATACTTACAGGTAGCTTTGATCTTTTCTGAATACTTGAAGGTTGGGATTGAGATTGAAGTTTAGACTGAGACTGAGACTGAGACTTAGATTGTGTCTGAGACTTAGATTGTGACTGAGATTGAGTGCCACCCATGCTTGTTGCCACTGGAGTTCTACTCTCAGATTGTTGATTCTTGCATGTTCTAGAGTTGTGGCCTATTTTACCACACTTACCAGAATTTTGAACTTTTTTAAGCCTGCTTTCAGAGGATGGAGCAGGAGGCTCATCAGGTTGCCTCCTCCTCAATTTTTTGGGCCTACCAGGCCTATTTTCATATATTGGTGGCAAAGGAGCTGGTAAATCACATTTATGCCACAATTCAGAACATGAAATCCCCATGATGGCATTTTCATATGCATTTCTGTATGTTTTTTGACTATACAAGTCATCCACATAGCACTCAGGATCTTCATGTCTACACCAAATGGCAGCACATGCATGCTTACAAGGAATTCCTGTCAAATCCCATTTTCTACAGCTACAACTTAGTCCAGCAACATCAACTGTGTGTTGATCCTAAGGGCCTATTATTTCAAAGTGCCAATCATCACTTTTCATGGGAATACACTCTGCACCATCTTTCATGTTCTTTTGAAGTATCTTTTTAATTCTAGGACAGATCCTCCCAGACCAGTTTTTAGCTGCATCTCTGTTCACTTGTAGTCTAGCCATCAACAAGAGCCTTACTGTCTCAAGCATCACAATGACTGACTTGTCCCTTGCATTCAAGATGAAAGAATTGAAACATTAACACATATTGTTCAGTAAAATGTCACACTTGATTGAAGTTTTGAAGTGAGACCGAGACCATTGATGAGGAGGTTTTTTTACCAGCCACTCATAAGCCTTTGGATCCAACTCTTTCAATTCATCCATCTTTGCACTAAAAACTTCCACCCTAGTTGCTCTAGCTGCAGCCCACAAAGCATTTTTTATTGACTGACCAACAAACCCATCTCTTTTCATGTTGTTGTGTAAATGTCTAACACAAAATCTGTTTTCAGCATTAGGGAACAAATCTTCAAAGGCAGGGATAAGCCCTTTCTGTTTATCACTCATGAAAGTCCATTCAAGTTCATTATCAATCCCTAAATCATTCTCTAATAACCTCAAAAACCATCATTGGACCTTAACAACTCTAAGCAATAGCTTGTGATTGAACTAAATTGTTCTTTTAATGTTCCATCTAGAAGCATCATTGCTTTCTTCTTGGCCCTGTAGGCTTGTTGCTTAGAAATATTGGACTTCAGCTTGGTACACAACATACCCCTGAACTCATTGACTCCAAACTTAGGGTATTTCTTAAACTTTTTCATGAAATTCTTCCCTATCCACCCAGATTTGATGCTAGGATTATTATAGTTCCAAGAACAACCTTTGTGGTTTTTCTCATAACACTTCACCTGCCAAGATGAGTCATTTTGCATTGGTGAAATAAAAATATACCACCCACACCCCTTTGTGGTACACCTAGCTCTCAATCTTCTTTTGTCATTCCTATCAAAACGAACCACCATCCCTCTTCTATAGCTGAAACCCTGAATAACATCCTTAGCCTCTGATTTTGTACTAAAAATCATCCCTAACTTCAACTCAGAGTTTTTATCAGTTTTAGGATTATATTTAGGGAATTTCACAACATTATCCTCCTCATCAGACCCTCTAACACTTTCAAATGAATCACTATCCCCTAACTCAAAATCATGCTCTTCCTCAAATATACCCTCAGACAAAAACTCATTTTCAATTGATTTACCATTATTTTTTTCATTCACCCCAACAAATTCTGCATCTTTGTCAACATTTTTGTCAAACAAAATATCATCCTCATCCATATCATAGTCACTATCATTGAACTCCTCACATTCTGAATCACTATCATCAACAGAAGCACACTCTTCATTTTGTTCATGTTGTTCAGATTGTACAGATTGTTCAGGATGTTCGTGTTGTTCAGATTGTTCAGGATGTTCAGGTTGTTCAACATTAGAGTTCAGACTACCAAGAAATGAGAGGTCAATCACAGGATCACTTTCAACCTCAAGATTAGAGTAGTTGTTATCAACATGATGTACATGTTCTAAAACAATTCTCACTATTCTGTTTTCAGGAATGGAGTTCATGATCTTATATGCCAATTGATCACTATCAATAATATGACTACCATCTTGTAAACTAATTCCATGCACATGCCAGGCATTCACATGATCACTGTTATAACCTAGTTGCTATATAAAATCCTTTAACTCAATCAACCAAACATCTCCCCATCCACCCCATCAAAATAATCCAAATACCCACCTCGGTACTCTTTCACAGGAATATGCATCATTAAACCACCGTGCAGAAACTCAATTGTGAAGACAGTTGGTTCCAACAAAGGGTCTACAACACAGAAAAAAAAAGAAAAATAAAATAAACAGAACTAAAAATAGTATGCATAAACAGATAAACAGAACTGAAAAACCCCTAATTTGTTCAGTTCAGCTCATAATCGAAAAACCCCTAATTTGTTCAGCTGAAAAAACCCTAATTTTTAGGGCAAATCTCACAATAATCATACAATATGGAACTTTTCAAAATTAACCATATAATTCAAAAAATTAGTGACGAACTGAAGTGAAAAAACTTACCGTATTCAGGTTGCAACCCACGTATAATCCTTCTCGCCATGGATTCAGATGGGTCGTCACAATAATCAGATAATATGCTCGTTGCAAATCAGAAGATGCTCGTCGCAAATCTGAAATGGAAGCTCACAATACACCAAAACACCAGTCGATTGCCCACTTGAATGCGATAAATGAAAGAAATTTTTCTAAAGGTAAAATGTTAGGGTTTTTTCACAGCAATTAGGTCTGCTCGATTGGAAAAATTAGGGGAAACCGATTATTTAGGTTTCTTTGGGGAAAGCAACCGACTAGAGAAGGTGGTGGTCAGTTAACTCACGGTCAACTGACGATTTGGGCAATAATGATGGATTTTGAATACGTTAGTGAAGGAAAGTGATTAAGTTAAAACCATGGGTATCAAAACTGAAAAGTAGGTAAACTTTAGGTACCAAAAGTGAAATTTTCCCTTTCTTTTTTTTTTTTTTTTTTTTTTNNNNTTTTTTGGTTTTTTGGTATTTTACATATGTAAGATTATTTGGATCAAGAAATTGACTATATACTCTATATAAACCAATTATATATTGAGATGAGAACTCAGTCTCCGATGAAGAGAAATTGCAACGCGATGGAAGGACTTCTTCCGAACTTAGTTTTGGCGGTCAAAAGCGTTTGAACCGGTCCAAAATCAGTTGAACCGGTGAACTGGGACCAGTTCGAATGGTTCGTCGGTTCATGAATTTGGAATTGGTAGATTATGAAGTGATTAAATAGCCATCTTTTTTACTTGTGTTTCTATCGATGCAACCTATCTCCAATCCCCTCGACAACCACCGACGACAATAGCCAAGCAGCCACCAGCGACGACCCACCACTTACCGGCAGAGAACTACCAACCAACCCCATGTAAGCAAGAAAAAGAGGAGAGAAAGGGAACTCACCTCTACTCTGGCCTCCGCCTAGCAGAAGTCGGAGCAAGCCGCCTAGTCCCGCTATCGAGACACCGGAAGACCTCACGCAATCGAAGGGCCCAGAAACATTGAAGCCCGACAAGCACCGAACCACCATGAAATCCCCCCTCGACGAAAGGCCGGGGGCCCTGACCTGCTGCGACAACAACACAGCCGCGCAAAGCGCCACGCTGCGAGGAGGCAGACGGCGGTAGAGGAAGATCGATGCCTAGATTCAAGATTTAGGTATTGAGAAAATGAAGGTTTTTTATTTGTGACAAGAAAAATGGTAATGTGATAATATATGCCATGTCTAGATATATTAAAACAGACCTAGGCCCGCAGGCCGCCTCGCCCCCGCCCCCGCCCCCGCCTCGTCTATTAGGCAAGTTAGGTTGGTATTTTAAAGGCCCGCCAACGAGTGGACCTAAATGAGCTGGCCAGACCGCGGGTTTTGGCGTGCCAACTCGCCACTAAAAAAAATTAATTCAAGTATTTAATACAAATAGCACTTTAGGCTATTACACTAGCACTTTAAACAATAGCAATATAATTTTTTCTATTTTTCTTTTTTTTTTGTACGTTCACAATTCACAAATCGAAACACATAGACGGGGCCTTTTTCCCTTTGCTAAGGGCTTGATTGTTTATGAAATAATTTGTTGAAAATGAGTTATTTTGGTTAATCATAGTTAATTTTGAAAAGGTAATATGGTTAGTTGTTAGTGAATTTTAAAAATGTATTAAAATAATATTTAAAATAAAATGATTAAAATTGATTTGATGTAAAAGTAAGAGATAAATGATTGAAAATAATTGGAAATGATAGGTAGTTAAAAATATGTGAGTGGATGAATAGTGAATTAAAGTTAATGTGATATGTAAGAATGATTGGTTTATATTATTTAATTATATGAATAATATTAAAGATAGTGGTCTTGAGTTAAAGTTGAGTTAAATTTTGAATTGAAATAAAAGTGAGAAATAATCTATAAAGAAACAAGCCCTAAGCTAACTCTAACCCCAACTCTCATTTCTCAAGCGGCAGCCGGCGGCAATCCTCTGGACCTCTGCAGACCGACCGGTGACCAGTGTACGGCGGCGACCTTGGAGCAGCGACGGCGAGCGGCAAGGAAGCGGCGGATTCGAGCGGCGATCGACGAGAGGCGAGCAGGATGGCGGCAGAGCAGTGACTCCAACTCCAAGCGGCATCGGTAACATCCGCAAGGAAGTCTCCTCCGGTAGTGATGATTGAACCTAATTCTCAAAATGAACTGTGATTTATGATTTGAACTGATTTGTGGATTTTGGTTTATTGAATTATGAATTCTGAAAATGAAATGGTTAAACCTAAATTCTCTAATTCTGACATGAATGTGAAGGCTGAAATGATTCTGCTCGCTCTGCGTCTGGCGATGAGATCTAGATATCTGTCGGAAACTTGGAATCATGACTCCTCAGATTATACCAATATTGCTTGTATATTCTACTAGTTATCATCATATAATAACTTTATTCAATACTTTTGGGCAGCAGAAATTGTATTTGAAGTTCTCTATTCTCTAGTGCTTCCGGGCCATCATTGTAATCGATTAATAGATATGAGCCTCATTCTACTGTAAGCATGCGTGGAATTCATCAGAAATTTTCTCCCTTTTTTTGCCGTGGACTGCATAAACTGTCACATGATGGCCCGAGTGAAACCTTGAAAAAGAAAATTGCTGAGTTAGAGAAGAAGAGGAAAACAAGAAATCCCAGGAAGAATAAATTACTTGTGGATGTTCCTGAGTCGAAAAAGTTCCTTGATACAGCAACCATGCCAATGTTACTCACTGTTGTGGGGACTGCTCTCTTTGCTAAGCTCCTCATGATGGTATGTAATGAGAAACTTTTTCATTTTCTGGTGTTCTTTTCTGTTTCGGTTGATCTTTGCATCATTCGGTTAAGAATCAAATCAATTTTTTTTAAGAGAGTTGTAAATGAATGGTATTTTAATTGTAAATTGCAATTTCGAACATAGATGACATGACTTAAAAAAGAACTGAAATAAACTGAAAATTAGAAAAAAAGTCGTATAAAATTTTAGATAGAAATTAAAAAACAAAAGACCATGAAAGAAGTTATAAGAGGACTAAAAAGGAGTTGAAACTTTAAAGAAAAAAAAAACCTTGAAAATTGCACAGATTTTAGAAACTAAGATTTGGATTGAAGTTGTGCCAATTTTATTTCCTGCAGTATGATGACTCCACAGAACAGGAAAGGATCGAGCGAAAGATAAAGGAGACCCCTGGCCTGGGCAGTGTAAGGATGCTCACTCGTGAAGAGTGGGATGCAATTCAAGAAGTGAGACCAAGGACACCATTTGAATCTAAGATAGCACGCCCCAATGCAAAAATACGAACTGGGGAGCCACTTCATATGGTAAGATTTGTAATATCTTTTTTTTTTTCCCCTTCACTTTACCTCGGTATAAAATCAATTTGAATCTCTCAGGACAAAATTTAAGTTACAGACATCTCATATTTGCATTAAACTACAATTCGAAAAAGATGTTTATTTCCCCTATCAGATTATATACACCGTCCCTCAACCTCAAAATGATTCAATTCAATCGACTCGTTTTATTATGCGCCTCCGTCTGAACCAAATGGTAAAGAGTGCGTACAGCGAGCACTGCCCATTGAGATATTCAAAAGGCCATCAATTTATAACAATTCTATAGAATACTATGGACGGACTTTAAGCATAATTCAACTGAAGTTTTGCGAGTTGGGAGTGTAAACAGGGAGATGTTTGAAGCTGCTTGGAGAACAAATAGCACAAGTGTATTAATATTTATTTATTTATAGATTGATTGTTTAATTTTGTGACGCGATAGTTGTCTAAATTGAGCTAAGACTTGATGCTCTCGATTGTGCTGGTGCAATTTCTCAGGAAGATGTCAAGGATTGGACAGTGGATGTGTTTGCAGATGCATTGACACGGGCTGAGGAGACTGCCAAACATGGATCTAACTAAAAATGATAGCTGATCAGCCCGATGGGCCCGTTTGGTTTGTAATGTTTTATTTCTATGAGCATAAGATGGCCTTTCGCTTGCCTCTTCTTTTCTGGTGATGATAAATTTTATTACATGGAAATGGAAAATCGTAGGTGAATAATGGAATGGGAAAATTTTATCCTTACTACACGATACAAAAGAATTTTCACATTTACCTTCATATAACAAGTAATAGGATAATTGCATAATTAGGCTATTTTATTTACAAGATTGCCTAAATATCAGGTACTCCATGTAACGTCCTCCATCCATCTCTCTTCCGTGATTTCTGTCATTGTTACCCGAGAAAAAAAAAAGGCAAATCGTATTTTCAATTCAAATTCATAAGAAACCAAAATTTTTGGAAAAAAAATATGAGATTTGAATTTTCAGAGCACTCGTGATCGCGACAGCTAAAAAAAAGGCCAAGGTGATCGATCTGTGTTGTCCCCGGTGATCGATCTGAGATTTCACCCAACATATACTCCAGGAAGACGAGAATTCCCCGGCGATAGAATTGAATTATATTTCTGGAATTTTTATCGTATATTTGAAACTTCAGAATGTTGAGTTTTTTTTTTTGTTTTTTTTTTTTTTTTTATTCTTATTCCGGATTAAATTGTCTGATTTTTGTTGTTTAGTTTTTGTTTTTTTTTTCATTATTACTAATCGAGAGGCAAAAGTTTTCAGTTTTGTTTGTCTTCTTCCGCTTGTAGTGTAATTGTGACATCTTGACGGGGATTGAATCTCGAGTGTATATCTTAGGTATATTTAGGTATATGTGGGTTCTGAAATCGATTTTGATGAACTATTGAAATTCGGGTGTATATTTAAAGTATATTTTATGTGTATGTGTGTCTCGATCTTTCGCTGGCTTGAATTACAAGAATTTTGAGTGTATATTTTATGTATATTTTATGTACATGTGTTGTTTTGGTATTCATTTTTTTTGTTGATGAATAACTTGGTGTTCTTTTAGACATAATTGAATCCGCTTTGACGAAAAACTTCTATGGGGATAATTGTCGAACACTTAGTTTGCTTGATTCATTGATAGATAGTTCTATTTTGTACATATTGCGGGTATATATTGCGGGTATATGCAGTATATTTTTGGGTATGGAAATATATATGTTTTGGGGTATAAAAATTATGTACATGAATTATACATTACCATTAGATATGAAAATTTACATGTTGCGGGTATATACAATATATACCAATGCTGTACATGCATACATGTACATAAAATATACATAAAATATACACTCGAGATTCTCGTAATTTAAAAAGACAGATGGGGACACATATATACATAAAATATACTTTAAATATACACTCGAGTTTCAACCCTTTCTCAAAAATCGATTTCAGAACCCACATATACCTCAAATATACCTAAGATATACACTCGAGATTCAATCCCCCTCAGAATGTCACAATTACACTACAAGCGAAAGAATACAAAACAAAACTGAAAACTAGTGCCTCTCGATAACAGTAATAATGAAAAAATAACCCAATTTTTGGATCCAAAAGCGAATTAGCATCCCCGAACAAGTACTTGAAGAACACCTCCAAATTCATCCACGGTCTATGAAACAAGTGTGCGAATTAGCAACCATATCAAGCACCCTGCCGGGACCGAGGGCCGCCCCGTGAAGGACCTATCAGTCCAGACCCACCACAACACAGGATCAGGGGAAAGCACCGACTGAAAAAAAAAAAAAAAAATCACAGTCCAAAATTTTCACCCCTCTTCACGATCCAAAAATTCTCATCACAATTATGTTCTAATAAAAGCATGAAGGTTTTGTATTTATTATTTATTTACATAATCATAAAAAACTCAAAATTGTTTGGATGCAATTTATTGGTTTGCTTAAGAAGTAACAAATGCATATGCATCAAAAGAGTTGGATGTAGTTTAACCTTAGTCCTTTCTCTTTGTGGCCATTGAAGAATTTTTGGGGAAGTTGTGGAGCGTTTTGCAGAGACGAAGGGGTGGGTGGTTTTGGTAGGGGTGATTTGAAATTGATTGTTCCAACTTTTTAGGTAAGTGGATAATTAATTGAATTATAAATCTCATTAACATTTAAAAAGATACTAAAACGGTTATCATTATGTGTTAGGTATAATTGATAAAACTTTTGTTTGTTTAGGTGATTTTAAAAATAAAAATGAAAGGAGCCTAAAATTGTTATAAAAATTAAACATGTTAGTATGGGGTGCAATTTCCTCTAATGGAATCAGTCTCCATGGCCGTTTCTTGTGGAAGAAATCAGAAATTGAGATGATTTTTATTTTTCGTGGAGAAAATGGAAATTTGATGTTCGAAAGAGATTTGCTGTTTTATTTAATGAGTACAATTTTTTGGAAGGCCCATTGGCCCAACAATTCAACAATAGCCTTTATTTGTGAATATATCACACATCAGAAACACAAGTATTTAAAGGAGTCCACATTCTACTCCTCTTAAGTTCTAAAGCTAGAACAGTTGGACTGTTCAAACCGGTCCCGGTTCAGCTGGTTTTTGGCCGGTTCTTGAACGGTTCTTGGTGATGAGGGTTCAACTAACCCTCAACCCCCCCAGCCCAGACTAGCCGTGGCCCTGCCTGGTGAGCCCAGTCTAGCCGTGGCCCTAACTGGCTCGTGCCCCGGGGGACCCACCGACTCGAATGAGTCCCACAGTGGACTCATGGCCTTCCACACTGCTCAAGTGTGGTTTTGGTGAGATGGTACCAGCATTGCATGCTTGGTGACCTTATGCTCAGGGTCACAGGTTCGAATGCTGGAGAGGGCAAAAACCACACTTGAGCAGTGTGGAAGGCCATGAGTCCACTGTGGGACTCATTCGAGTCGGTGGGTCCCCCAGGGCACGAGCCAGTCAGGGCCATGGCTAGACTGGGCTCACCAGGCAGGGCCACGGCTAGCCTGGGCTGGAGGGGCTGAGGGTTAGTTGAACCCTCATCACTTGATCTTGCCGGTTCTATGCTTCAAACAGGACCTAAAGGAAGACCGGTTCCTCGTCCAACCGGTTGAACAAGCCGGTCCGGGCCGGTCGGGTTTTGAAAACCAGGGTCTCAACAATATAAATACAAGTTAATCATAGTTTGTAGCCAAAAATCTGTGACGACAAGCATAAAACGTCTTCATCAACGACTAAAAAAACAAGTAAATTAAATTGTTTCATACCATATATATTTGTTGCACATTATTTATATTATATATTACAAGATACAAAAAATAAAATAAAAAAAAAAATAAAATGTGAAAGTCCGAATAGTCTCTAACTAACTAAGGAGCTTGAATTCATTCCGATTCTTGCAGCCCAACGAGCTCAATTATAATAGTTTGTTAAATTACTATCAGTTAAAAATCGAAACAACTGTTTAGTTTGATCTTTGTAACTGCGCCTACTATTAGAGAAAATTCAAGTCAAGTATTAATAGCAGTGTTTTGTGACCCGGACCGGCCCGCCGGGTCGACCCGGGACCCGGTCGACCCGGAGCCGGAACCGGTCCGGGTGAGTTAATTGGACCGGGTAACAACAGACCCGGTCAAACCCGGTCAAAACCCGGTCGACCCGGCCTTGACCCGGTCGACCCGGGGCATTGACCCGACTGGGTCAACCCGGTTGACCCGGTCTATATGTTTTTTTTTTATTTTTTTTTTGTTTTTTAATTTTCTTTTCTTTTTAAAAATAGAATTGTATATATATTTATATGATAAATATATACATATTATTACCACTTTAATCTACAAATTTTACATACAAAATATTTAAATTTGTTATTTTTATGTATATTTATATATCACAAAATACCCTATATATAATTTTATAAATTTTAAAATTAATTATCCGGTTCAGCAATTGACCCGGTGACCCGGCGGTTGAACCGGTGACCCGATGACCCGAAGACCTGCCCGGGTCGATTACCGAGCCGGGTTTAAAAACTATGATTAATAGCCTGATTATAATTCTTTTGAAGTATAATGCACGGCATGACGACTACACAATTAATGTACCATGGACTTACTCTAAGTCAAGTCAACCCAAGTGTCCATTTGATTGATAATTCCACAATTATTTCCACAAATGAATAATCTCGCATTTAAGTACTACATATAGAGAGAGGGCCACAGCATCGTCGTGGAAGTTTTAGATTTCCAAAAAAATCTAATCATTTTTAACTAATCAATTTTATTTTATTTTTTTTTAACTCAAATCTAATTCGATTTTAATTCAACTCTATTATCTCCAATATATCAGTATAATTAAATAATATCAAATCAACTTTAACTATTTTATTATAAATATTATTATAATGTAAACTTAAGGGAGATTTTACGGCCCTATTACGGAACCATTCCGTCGGGGTTCGTAACCGTTGGATCAACTATCCACAACGGTTACATGATGATCTAACGGTTACAAATCCTGACGGAGCAGTTCCGAAACGGGACTGTAGCATTCCCTAAACTTAAAATCCTACTAAGTACTAACAATCAAACATACCGCATTTTTCAAAATAAACCATACCAAACCAAAAAATCCAAACAAAATCAGAACATCTTATATCGAAGCATACAAATTATGGAAAACACAAATGATGTACTCGGATTCAAGTCAATGCGAGCGCTTATTAGTGCTCGGATTCCACTATCATTCATGACTATAGTAACCATATGTGACAACATGATGAGTGTCTATATAATAGAGTCTTATTGTTAAATGTAGTAATGCAAACATCTTCTAGCTTTCCTATACATATTCTCAAGCCTATATCCAATAAATTTATATATGTATAAAATGGAAAAAATGGTGTTCTCTTCAATGCTCTTCCCCTTCATCTACTTCTTCTTCTTAATAACATTTGAGTCCACCATATTCTGCATGTCATCAAATAATAATTTTACTTCTATTGATTGCATCCCAAGAGAGAAGAAAGCTCTCCTGAGGTTGAAAGCAAGCCTCTTGGATAAGTCTAACAGGCTTTCCTCTTGAAATAACACCGGATACAAATGTTGTGCCTGGCAAGGCGTAAAATGTGATAAAGCGACTGGGCATGTTATCGAGCTCGATCTCAAAAACCGAGTTCGAAACAATTATGGGTACTCGAGATTTGAAAGCAGGTTACAGAGTGAATCACTTGATTCTTCCCTGCTCGAAATGAAGCATCTCAAGTACCTCGACTTGAGCGGGAATAATTTCATGGGCAGCTCGATCCCAACATTCTTGGGATCATTAAAGCAGCTGCAATATCTCAATCTGTCCAATGCAGGCTTTGGAGGCGCTGTCCCTCACCAGCTCGGCAACCTCTCAAGCCTGCGTGCACTTGATCTTGGATGGCTGCATTCTCCGAGAGTCGACAATCTCATGTGGGCCAGTAATCTTTCATTGTTGGAGTACCTTGATATGAGTTATGTCAACCTTAGTACAACAAAAGATCACCTTGCTACGGTACTCGGTACGCTTTCTTCTTTACAAGTGTTAATCTTGTCAGACAGTGGACTTGATAACACATACCTACCTAATACTAACTGCATAAATTCCACATTGTCTACTAATATCCAACACTTAGATTTGAGTTACAATTTCTTCCAAGGAGATATTCCATGTGGTTTCCTTAACAACACTTCTTTGCGTTTTCTTGATCTTTCCCACAACCAATACACCTCATTGGACACTCATTTTCTTCTACCGAGAAACCTTGAGCATCTCAATCTTGCTTATAACTCACTTAATTACAGCACAGAATGGATCTCTGGTTCGTTGTGCGATAAATGCCACTTGAAATCACTGAGCCTAGAGAGTAATCATTTTCATGGAGATATCTTGGTGTTATTTAGAAACATATCGACATGCTGCTGGAGCCGTGACTTGGAGAATCTAGAGTTGCTGAGTAATGAGTTTCATGGGCAGTTGCCTAAGGAAATCGGTGAAATGAAGCAGTTAAAGAAGTTTGAATTGGTCGATAACAAGTTGTCTGGTCCGATCCCTATTGTTTTGGGACAACTTTCAAACCTGGAGTCTATCGGCATATCTGGTAACGCCTTTGAGGGTACGCTCACCGAGGCCCACTTGGAGAAGCTATTCAAATTAACAAGTTTTTTGGCTGGTTCTAACATGTTAAAATTTAGAATGAGAGATGATTGGACTCCTCCTTTCCAACTAGAGACCCTTCATATGTCATCTCTCGATGTCGGTGGAAAATTTCCACAGTGGCTTCGAACGCAAAAAGCACTCCGTTATTTGTATCTATCTAACTGTAGCATTAGAGGAACACTGCCAAGATGGCTCCATTCCATCACAAATCTGACTAATTTCGACCTATCCAACAACCATATCGATGGATCATTTCCAAAGCTTCCTTTCGGAATCCAATATTTGGCGCTATCAAATAACACAATAAGTGGTCCGATACCCGATTCCTTATGCCAAATGAGAGATTTGCTATATCTGCGTCTCTCCAAGAATCTTTTGTCAGGTCACCTTGTAGAATGTTGGGGCAACTTTCCTTCATTAGTGGTCGTAGTTTTATCGTCTAATCAGCTTTCGGGGCCCATTCCAAACTCCATCGGTGGAGCTTACTCGTTGGAATGGTTACATTTGAATAACAACAATTTTACAGGGCAGCTCCCCCGAAGTTTGAAAAATTGCACCCGATTAATGGGTTTGGATATTAGAGACAATAAGTTATCAGGGAAAGTTCCGCATTGGATTGGAAACAATATGCTTAATATGACTATTCTTAGGCTAAGGAACAACAAATTCTACGGAGACATTCCATCCTTTTTTTGTCAGATGTCTAAACTTCAAGTGATGAACCTCGCAAACAATCGGCTGCCCGGGAACATCGCACGTTGCTTTGGCAGTCTCTCGGGAATGGTCCACGATAAAACGATCGATCTTGGTGAGCATTCATTCATATAGTAGTTAACATGACATGACATTGATACAATATATAGTTACATGATATTATTGAGTTCTTAGCTCGTTACACATGATCTCAAGGGTCTGTTGGTTGGCGGGACAATGAATTTTTGAATTGCTTTTTATTCACTATCGATATATTATTAAAGATAAAGAAATTTATATTTTTCCGTCAAATATTAATAAATTTTTCCGTCAAATATTATTATTTTTTTTGGTAAATTATATGTATTTTCTATGGAAGATAAAAAATTTTGAAAAATGAATTAGCATTCTACAATTCTTAAAAGATGCCTAAATCGAAATAATCCCTATTAGTTGTGTCTAACTTATATGTTTAGTGGAAGTCAAAGTTTGAAAATAGTGTATAATTCGTTGAATTCTTACTTATTTGATATACAATTAATATTAAAAAAAATATTTTTAAACATTTAATAAATATTTAGCTTTGTATCATTTTTCTTTTCGTTCATACTATATATTGTTAAAGAAACGAGACTCCATAAATCTATATTTATATCCATTTAAAAAATAAACTATAAAGAGACTGAAAAATCTTTTCCATCTTTATTGTTACTAAATATATAAATATTATAATTAAATATGAAATTCAGTATTAATCAACCTCTTATCAAATATTTACATATAAAATAGTACATTAGTTATATTTTTATAATTATCTATATATATATAATTGCTGGCATGTAGCATTTAATAAAACTTATTTAATAAAACCTCCAAAATTTTTTCTCCATTTTCGGTTACAAAATTTGTCATTAATAATTTTTTACTTCTCACATTAATACATATTAATGAGTGTAATCATGTATGTTTCTATTATATTATATAATATTTATTGCTAATACCAATTAATTCTCAATAAATATAAATTACATAATTATAAACAATTGTTTCAAATTATGTATTTTAAGATCAAATTATCTTTTTCTTTTGTATCTCATAAAAAAATTTCTTTAAAAACAATTAGTAAATTGTTTTAATAGCATAGTTAAACAACTTTAGAATCTTATAAACAATTATTTTTTAATATATATATATATATAATTGCTAGCTTAGCATTTAATAAAACCTATTTAATAAAACCTCTAAAATTTTTCCTCTATTTTCAGTTAAAAATTTATCATTAATATTTTTTTACTTCTCACATTAACATATCATGTTAAGTGTAATAATGTATTTTTATATTATATTATATAATAGTTATTGTTAATACCAACTAATAATAATTCACAATAAATAAAAATTACATAGTTAGAAATAATTGTTTCAAGTCATTTATATTAACATCAATATTATCTTTTTCTTTTGTATCTCATGAAAAAATTTCTGTAAAAACAATTAGTAAATTGTTTTAATAGCATAGTCAAACACCTTTAGAAGCTTATAAACAATTATTTTTTAATAATAATAATAATAATAATAATAATAATAATAATAATAATAATAATAATAATCATAATCAAACTGTTATTATCTAATGATAATAAATAATTATTCATAATAATAAAATCGTTAATTTATTTTTCCTAACGATCAAATTTTTGAAAATGTAATATGTTCATTATCTAGAATTTTAATATTAAATTATCAAATATTACTTACTAATATTTTATGTACATCTGTGCATGTGCACATGATATCTACTAGTTTTTATTTAACACTCATAGGAGACATACAACTACAAAATTATTCTTCTATTTATGAAAATATTTTTTTCATAACTCATTTGTATATAGTTTAGACCAGCATTAGTTCATATATATATATATATATATATATATATATATATATTTTGTTTTAATAGTGCAATTTTCAATCTATATATAGTTTAGCCATAAGTGACTTGACCATGCTCGTGAGAACTGATCGATCAACGATTCATTTCGCTTTCTGGAATTTGTAAACAATGATTAGCAGCTATGTAAACACTTGTACAGACGTTATTTGCACAAAGGGACAATATTTACTGATAATGCACGGACTTGTAGTAGGTACGAGGTACGATTTATACGATACATTAAGTGAAGTCCTGAAGGGAGCGTCACTGGAGTATAGCGCAAATGCACGATTATTGGTCAATTTTGATCTTTCAAGTAATCAATTAATCGGAGAAATCCCTTCCGAGCTGACAAACCTCACTGGCTTAAAGGGCCTCAATTTGTCTCATAATCATTTGGGAGGGAAAATACCGTTAGAGATTGGAGATATGGTGTCGCTTGAATCGCTTGATCTTTCTAGCAACTATTTGTTCGGAACGATTCCAGAGAGTTTATCGAAGTTGACCTTTTTGAGTCATCTGAACTTGTCCAACAACAATTTGTCTGGGCATATCCCGACGGGACCTCAACTCCAAACACTCGACGGAAGTTCGGATTATGAGGGAAATGCTGGACTATGTGGGGTCCCACTGGTCAAGCAATGCGAAGATAACGGAACGCCGGCCAGAGATGAAAATGATGGGGAACATGATGGTGGAGATGCAGCCGATAAGATATACCCATATGCATTTATAGCTAGCGGTTTTGCCGTTGGATTTTGGGGTTATTTTGGAGTTTTGGTCTTCAAAAGGAGTTGGCGGCTGGCTCTGTTTGGGTGGATGGATGTTGTGTTGGGAAAAATGATGGGGTGATGTTGGGAGTTTTGAGTTTCCAATACTCTGATTTCATGTGATCTTTGTTGTGTGTGATGCTAGTGTTTATTTGTATAGCCTAAAGCATCAGTTTGTTGAGATTGAAATGTAATAATAATTTGGGTTGTAATAAAATTACACATTTGTATAGCCTAAAGCAACACATTTTCAAGAGGTGATGAAGTGATTCGTGAAAATGTAAATGTAGCTAATAGTCCCGATACTGTCACGTCATACGCAGAATCGAGCTCTTCTACTCCAGTTGGTAATTTGGAAGGTAACCCATCTGAGATCAAATCGAGTGCAACAGTAACTAGTTACTCTCAAATAGAGTCTGTTCGTAAAGATCTCCACCGACTTTATCGTGATTATGGGCTGAACCTTTCTGATATCTACGAGGATTATCTGCTCGAATTTGAAAAATCACAATGCGTATTATAACTCTTCAGAGGATCATGTAACCGTTAAGGATGTTGACGAGGTTCTTGATTATGCTGTTTCTCCCGAAAGCCAGTTGGTTAATCAAGATGCTCGGCGGGGACTCAAGCCGAAAACAATCGATCAGGAGTCTGAAGAATACTTTTCGATGCTTATGATGTAAAACCTAAACATTTGTGTGTACAACAACTTACCCCACAAGGGCCACAACAGACTGTGCCTCACAAAAAAGTTTCACTCCAATTTTTTTTTTCTAATGGATTGGTGCTAGCACACACAAAATTACCCCATTGAGTTTCAACACTTACTAGTACAACTCCAGTGTATTATACGGGTGCTTGTTAAAAAATTATTCTTAAATTTTAAATTAGAGAGAAAAATTGTTTTAAATTTTATTTATTTTTTTAAAAAAATGTATATTATTATGTATTTTATAATGACACTTGTTACTCGTGCGACTTACATGTGTTATATTATAGTAATTTTTATAACTAATATCATATAACTATTTGAAATATAAATATATTAATTGATAATAATTTTACTTTTCTAATTAATATTAAAAAAAATTATTATTGTTATAAAGATAAATATAATTTATTTTATTTATACATACAATATGGATGTATAAATCGAAGTTCATCAAGAGATGCTTAAATTGGTATATTATATATGTAAAACTAATAAAATATACAAAAGTTATTAACTTTTAAAATATATTTACAATTCAATGGTGATAATAAAAAAATTATATTAATATGCAACTAATTCATGTAACATGATTACAAATAATCAACATATTTATTGATAATCCAGACCTAATTATTTTTGAATGGAAGTAAATTAAAATATTCTCAAGTCTAATAACGAATCATGAAATTTTGACATATAGAATCCCGAAGAACGCGAGCTTGCCACTTAAGTTCAACACGTTCTTAATTAATATAAAGGGGGACAAGGGGGATTTTAACATAAATGTTGAAAATTTATAGCGAAATCTTTATAACATAAATATTGGAAATTTGTAGCTAATCTCTAGGCATTTGCCTACAAAACACGTATGTAGGTAAATACCTGGAGAAAAATTTGTAGGAAAAATATATTGTGTGCAATATTTTGCCATTTACCTAAAAAAAATAAATTTGTAGGTAAATACCTAAAGAAAACTTTGTAGGAAAAAATAAAAATATGTAGGAAATCTCTAGGCATTTTACCTACAAAATATATTTGCAGGTAAGTACATCGAGAAATATATTTAGTGAAATGTTCTTTTGCATAAATGTAAAAATTTGTAGGTAATCTCTATGTATTTACCTACAATATATATTAGTAGGTAAATACCTAGGAAATATTTTTTTAGGTAAAATATATTGTAAACAAACCTATAGCAATTTACCTAGGAAATAAATGTGTAGGTAAATACCTCGAGAAAAATTTGTAGGGAATTTGTAGGTAATCTCTAGACATTTATCAATAAACTTTACTAGTACAACACTCGTGTATTACACGAGTTTTTGTTAAAAAAATTATTCTTAAATTTTTAAAATTAATGAGAAAAATTATTTCAAAATTTAATTAATTTTTTTTAAATCCTCACTATATATTATTCCCGAATACGTTGAGCCTACGTGGCTGCTTCTGGTGCTTCGGAATCATACTTGACAAAGAATCATTCTTCGTAATTAGGTTTGGAAAAATAATATTCATATATTAATAATTAATAATTTAGATTTGGACATTCCATAAATATTATTTAGCTAACTTAGGTATTTTTAATATCAATTGTGCTAATATAACCTTTTATTTCTTTATAATTTTACATAGTGAGACACTAAGTGACTAATATATCCCTGACTTTTGATTTGTTTCCTTCAATTAGCTATTGAATTATAAATGTATTTTAAAAGTTGATAACTTTTGTATTTATTATCGATTTTACATATATATTATATCAACTTAATCATCTTTTGATGATCTTCGATTTGACATCCATATTGTTTATATGAAATAAATAAATTATATTTATTTTTATAATGATAAAAAATAATAATATTTATTAAAATTCATTAGAAAAAATAAAATTATTTCTCAATTGATATATTTATGTTTAATGTAGTTATATATTGTAAGTTAAGAAAATTATTATAATATAACACAGGTAAGTTGCACAAATAAAATGTGTCATACTAAATATATAATAATATATATATTTTTATGAAAATGTATTTAAATTTTCAACTACTTTTTCTCATTAATTTTAAATTTTAAGAAAAAAAAATTAGCAAGCACCCGTGTAATACACGGGCGTTGAACTAGTATATATTATTACATATTTTAGAATGACACTTGTTACTTGTGTGCTTACATAAGTTATATTATAGTAATTTTTCTAACTTATATCATATACCTGACACATAAATATATTAACTAACGAAATTTTATTTTTTTAGTTAATATTAAAAAAATAATTTTATTATTGTTATAAAGATAAATATAATTTATTTCTTTTATACATACAATATAGATGTTAAATCGAAATTCATCAAGAGATGACTAATTTGATATATTATATATGTAAAACTGATAAAAAATACAAAAGTTATTAATTTTTACAATACATTTACACTTCAATTGTTATAATAAGAAATGTTATTACAAAGCAATTAATACATGTAACATGACGATAATAATCAACATATTTATGAATAATCTGAAATTAATTATTTTTAGATTGGAAGTAAATTAAAATCTACTCATGTCAAATAATAAAGCATGTAAGTTTGCCACATAGGATCTCGAGTAATGAAGCATGTAAGTGTGCCATATAAGATCCCGAAGCATGCGAGTCTGCCACTTAAGCTCATCACATTTTGAATTAATATATAACGGAGATTTGTTTGTATATAGCTACAAATTGCCTACAAATATTTTTTTATCAAAATTTATAAATTTTTGTAGGTAATATGTTTATATTTATCATCAAAACAAATTTTGTTGGTAACATTTGTAGCTATTTTGACATTTTCTTGTTGTGCGACTGAAGCAGCTATACAATTGAATCCAAAAAGTGGTCTACACGACGAGACGTTGATAGCCTAGAAAGAACTACACTAAAGCACACTTACATGACTAAGATACTATAATAATACACACCCACGAGTGGAGAACTCTAACTCCAATAATGGACAATAAAAACACCAAAAAAAAAATAAAAACACAGACTGAACACAGTAAATACCAGAATAATACTCGCCCCTGAGCTAACAGGCCACTCCGCACTGACACCACAGAAACCAACGCCTGAAAGCGACCACCTACATATACAGAAACACAAACCAAATCGTAGATCTAGAAACTCTAATATATCTCTAGCTGACTAGATCTGAAACAAACAGACCAGGTCCCTAATACCAAATGGAGGATCTCGGACCAGCAAGCCGGAGGCCTGCTCATACCTCCACCCCCAACACCAACTGGCGATCACAACAAACACGACCAGTCAAAGACCGCCACCGCTAGAGGATCCCACCTTACCCAACACCAGAGACATGTTGCAAAAGCAACGATCGGTGCCAGCACCTTGACATCGTCGTCGGATCGTCGGAAGCCGCTTCAAAACCCCGATATAGCCACCCAAACACGAGGGAGAAGCGCTATGCCTGTGGAGTGAAAGACAAGACAACGACAGTCACACTGCCTCTGCCTGGCCCGGTGTTGGCCGACGCTACGACAGTTCAGAGGTTCAACTATTAGGAGGCGCAGAGGGGAGATGAGGGACAAGGGTTACGGGATGAATTTTTTTTACTGCTCAATGAGATTTTTTTTTTTTTTTTTTGAGCTAACAAGGAAATTATCCAACCATTTAAAAGACATAGTAAGTCAATTCATAACAAGGCTAAATGAACCGGTTAAACGAACCAAGCGGCCAATAAACCTTTCGGCTTGACTTGAGGTCATGTACCTTGAATTCAAAGTTGAGTTGAACTCGATCCTATAGTTTATGAACTCAGACGCTCGACAGGTCGTTTGAAAATATACATAAAATTACCCAAATACTCCTAACTATATATTTTTTATTCGAATTTTAAACCGATCTCAAGCACTTGCATTTTTTGGCTGAATCCAGCAGAGCGTAAAATGTTTTTGGATCATCAATCTTGAACAACAGTAAAAAGAAAAAAAAAAAGGAGCTAATAAAGGCAATGCTCGACTCAGTTCTTCTCACTTGTGGCCCTACTTCTACCACCAAACTATGATATATAGCAAGCACTCGAAATCTTTATACAAAAATGTCATCCCCATCAAATATGAGAAAAATGAACCGTTCTATGACCCGTAGAGAATGAAATGGTGTGTTGAGTGGTATAGTAAGAAGATACTTGATTGTACTTATACATTATTGCACCAGTTGAACCCACCTCGAAATTTCACTCACCTAGAGGAAGCATATTATTTAGGATTGTTTTGTTTGCTCATTCAAACATGACCTAGTTGATGGCAAATTTTCAACAAAATAAAAACAAACGGATGTCACGATCAGTTGACACCATAGATCCACTTATCGGCATTGTGGGTGTAGTTAACCAACTCATCTGGTTTGAACCATAGGTTGATATCGTCTTTGGCAGTCTCAGGGCCATCACTGCCATGAATTATGTTTTCTAGAACATATGAAAATTTAATATGAGGACAACATGAGGCTACTAAAAACTAGTTGTGTTTAGCTAGAACTCTACCCTCCAAGGAACTAAAATTTGCAGATTCAAAGTTTCAAAGCTTTGAGGGAAAAAAGTTAATTCAAAACAAGATCTTGGATAGAAAGGCCTTTCCATGAGGTCATGGTAGTGCTTCTCAGCAAAGTTCTTTGAGGGGACCACAATTTCGATGACCACCAGTTTAAAACCTTTTCTTTCAATCCAAGCAATAATTTCTGAAATCTGACACCGAGAAAGAATTTGTTAAAATGTGCGCGCACATGCATCAACGTCGAAAGTGTCCAATCTAAAATAAAAGATAGGTAGCCGAGCATAAATTTTTTCTTTCCCTTTTTCCTTGATATATATGGGGATTGTATAGTCAGCTAATGTTTCTTAGTCTTGCATTTGGTAGAGTAAGCTAATGGATAAAGAAAAATAGAAATTGTGAGGAAGGAAAAAGTATGATCGTAAATACCAATCCTCTTTGGACTCCATCGGGCTTAATGGCAAAAAAAGTCCTCTCCATCTAAGAAGAAATGAATAAATAGAGTAAGCCACCAGAATAAGATGAACAACAATTAGCGATAAGGCATGTAGAATAAGACAAAAACAAAACGGAGTAGAGAGATATATGTACCTCAGCAGCATATCCTTCTTGTTCTTGAAGCATGAAAGCTGTTAAACAAATGAATGGATACATAAAAAAACACTGGTCACTAAAAGTTGCTGAGATTTAGGGCTCAAAATGTCAAAAGCTCAAAGGAGCCCAATATAATTTAGGGCTCAAAAGGTCAAGAGCTCAAAGGAGTCGAATATAAATTTTAACATAGATAACAAATAAGTTACTCATTATGCAAAAGAAGGGCAAGAAAACTTTCACAGCAAGAGCAGCTGAGGATGATCAACAGAAAGTCAATTGTTGTTTGTATAGAACATAGTTAGTGAAAAACAGTTGACACATTTATGAGCAATATGTATGTAGAGGCATGTAAATCCTGAATTTAAGCAGGGAACTAGGCTGCTTTCCTTTCTGGATGGGAAATACGAATCTTCCATTTCAGAAATTAAAAGATCCAAGTAATGTCTTTGGCAACATGTATAACATATGCACTTGAGTAGAGTGAATTACGAAGTAAAACAAAAAGAAAAAGGCACATTTTATTTTTCTAACTAAATGTAGCCAATACATAGGAATGAAATTCATCTGTCGACTTTTAACAACAGGGAAAGTGTGTATTTAAGAACCTACTGCTGGAAGGGCAAAAAAAGCTCCAGGGATCCACCATGTATATGCATTCCTTGAGTCATATACACCAAAGGAAGCTGATGATGTCATTTTCCCTCGGCATGAAACTGCAGCAGCAGCACCTGCCGCTCGACCACCTAAAAGAGCAAAACACGGTCTTTTATTTAGATGGCGTAACAAAAAGACATGAATTAATCGATAGCAACAAAGATTCGAGGTAATAGTTGTCCCGTGGAATTTCGAATATCATTTCATATTGGCAATGTAGAGTGAACTAAATGCAGCAAGGAAAATATTACACCACCCAATTAGCTGAAGAAAAGTTAAATAGCAATAAATTATCTCGCTTTTTTTTTTTTTTTTTCAAAAGAACCATCTCATGAAGCTTCTACCTTAGATGTGGTGTGAATAATATAACAACCAACATTTCACAACCACTACGAATTAAGATTAAATTTTAGCCTAAATTAAACATTAGGCCTGCTATGTGTTTGTCCCGTTTTTGTTGCTATTTTCGTTGATATCCTGTGTGTCGTTTCCCCCGTTTTAGGTCTTTTCTTAGGTATTTTCGGTCCTCTTTGTCATTTCTTATGCTTTTATCTTTATTTCGGTGTGTTTAGTATTTTCTTTGTTTTCTTTCCTTTTCCTCTTTGTTTTTCGTGTTTTTCCGGTTGTGGTGATCTCAGGTTTTCGGTTGCTCGAATTGGAGAGCATTCAGTCGAGAGGAGAGCGTGTTGATCGAACATCAATTTGTGGGCTCAAACTTACGAGAATCGAGTTTCCAGCTCGAGCAGTACCCAAGAGACGCTAGCCGAGCATACAAGCCCGTAATGTGAAGTTTTTGATGCTGTCCAGCCCTTAGCGCCGCTAAGAAACCTTAGCGCCGCTAAGGTCAGAGGCTTAGCGGCGTTTTATGTCTTAGCAGGGCCAGAGAGGAGCAGCTAACGAGGCTTAGCAGCGCTATGGAACCTTAGCGCCGCTAAGGTGGCTTAGCGGCGCTAAGAACCCTTAGCGCCGCTAAGGTCTATTTTGTAACAACTGCGCGATTTCCGTGATTTCGAATTTGGGATGTTATTGCTCGAGCTTAGGTTAATTTCTGGCATTATTCAGACTCGTTTTTGAACAGCTTTTTCACCTAGAACATATTTTCTTGTACTTTTGCATCTTGGATTAGCTTTTGAGATGGAAGAACTCATTTTCTAGCTTTTGGATTTTGGATTGCTCGTGTTTGTTCAACATTGGATTCAAATTAATCGTAAGCACTTCTTTTCTTATTTGATATGATGATGTTTGCTTGGGTTGATGAATGCGTTGATGTTGAATCGATTATGAGTAGCTAAATTCGATAACTAGGGTTAGGGGATAATTGTTCCGGTTCAATTTAATTGATGTGAATGTTGATTGCTCGATCTAGATGAGTTAGGCTAAACCTAGGGTTGAATGTCTGATCATCATTTAATCTACTTAATCGATTTAGAACCGAAAGGGGAGAAATCGATCGACCTCGGCTTGTTTAGAATAGACTTGTTCGGAAACGTATTGTCTATGTGTTAATGAATTCGATAATTGCTCGTTTATGTTTATTCTCTTGTTTCGTGAGATATTGAGAATGAATCTATAGATGAATTGGTTATTGTTTGTTCATTAGCTGAGTAATTGATTGCCCTTTTCATGTATTGAGAACCGGATACGATTGTCCCCGATACCCTAGTCCCTTTAAACTTTTGAAATTTGTGTTTGAGTTGTGAATTTGGAATTGATTGTCTTGCTTTCATAATTACTTGCTTTTCAATTCGTAGTTGATAAAATTGATCCAAACCAATCGAATTAGAGTGTTTAGGACTTCCTTATTATTTCGTGTGATTGAATATACATACAGAATAATCCGGCTAACCTTCCTCGTGATACGACCCGGTGTCGAATCTTTGGATTTTACTTCGGTAAAAATATTTACAACACTATGACCATGCTGGAATGTGAGAATTCATCAATCAGAACCGAGAGAATCTTGTTTTGCGAGTGAGCTTGTGACAAGTGAGGGTAATGGTCGCCTTCTATTATGTGAGAGGCATCTTGTTTGTTTGGTAATCGTGTGACTGAGTGAGACATGGCAACTTGAAAGAAATAGAAAATAATAATACTATTTTGGGACCGACTATGGTCAAGTAACCTCATACATACCTAACATTAGGTAGCTCTATATTTCATCACTAGATTGACTCGAAAATGAATATCAATCATTAATTTAATGTACGAGGCCAAAAAAAAAAAAAAAA